AATTAAAAAAAAAAAAAAAAAAAGAGAGAAAAAACAATGCAAGGTGAGGTTTTTTTTTTCAGAACTTGAACCTGAAGTTCAAAAAAGTAGATAATGGGTAGAAAGAATAAAACAATTAATGGATATGTTATTTAATAAAATTAAAAACCCACTAATAAGTAAAACGCTAACAAAAAAAATAAATAATTAAGATAAAACACTAAAAATAAAATAAATAAAACACTAACAAATAAAAATAAAAATACCCTAACAAGTAAAATAAAACAAACAAAAAACAATTAAAATAATAACACTAAAAATAAAAAGCACTAAAAAACAAAACACTAACAAATAAATAAAAAAACACTACCAAGTAAAATAAAACACTAACAAACAAAATAAAATAAAATGCAGTAACATATATTTTTGAAGAAACACCACAAAAAAAGTAAAATAAATAAATAAATAATAATAAAATAATCAATTAATAAAAATAAACATTCCACAAAGTGAAGAGCAACCACCACGGGCATGTCATGATGCTTAACATGGAACGAGAAGGAAAGAGAGAAAGAAAGACGAAGAGAGCTTCTCTACAGGTACAAAGAGAAGGAAACTTCAAAAGGGCTCGTGGGTACGTACCAGGGAAAGCAGGGGTGGTCTGTCCGAGGGGGGTAAAGGGGGTTTGCTGCATAGCCAACTGGTGGAGCTTGGTCAACTGCTGAGGGTTTGGAGGGACAATAGAGCTAAGAGGTTATTGTTATAAGACAGGTCACACCAAGAAATCAAGAAACTAAACTAGAACAAAGAGACAAAGAGGATAAGAAGCCATGACATACTGTGGTGGAAGAAGAGCAAAAGAGAAAGCTAAAGACCCAGCAACTTTAGAAGGACTTGGCCTGACTTGGTGGGTTAAGGTTAATCTCATCTGATCACTAACTAACCTTTGATAAGCCCCATCTTGGGAAAAAATGTCTGATAAATATAGAATCTGCCAATTAATCATGTGACATTTTGGTTTAAGATCAAAGTGGAGTTTAGTTTATGCTTTTCTGTAACCCAGGTGACTCAAAAGAGTCTAAATGCAATAGAACGTGTCTGTATTACCAAAAGATAATTTGTCACCTGAACCACGCGTGAACCGTTATCCATCAGAGATATGAACATGTAAGTGCTCGGGTAACCTTCAGAGGACACACAAGCCTATTTTACAAACAGTCAGACTTGCGCTTGGTGTAGCTGTGTACACCATCTAAATCTGAGTCTAAAGCAGGTTGAAAGGGATGTCCAACCTTGACTTGAGTTATTGCAATGTCAGCAGAAGCATCTCTAAGCATCAATCACTGCCAATCCTAAATGAAAAGAACTAACACATGGCATCTCTTCTTCTCTCTGATGGATATTCATTCAGATTATCTGTGAGGAAAACACAGCTATCAGGATTAAAGCATTATCTGGATTGTAAGCGTGCTTCCATTTTGATAAGGTCAGTGGCTCTCAAACTATGGGATGTGTAATTTTGATTATGTAAATTGAAAACAGATTTTTTTTTTTTTTGTAAAAATGGTACTTTTATTTTTCCACATTTGCTTTCTCATTTCCATTTTATATACACTTATGTTAAAGTGCCCCTATTATGGATTTTTGAAAATTACCTTTCATGCAGTGTGCAAAGTTTTAAATCTGAAAGTGCACCGTATATAAAGTTATTGTCTCTCAAAAGAAAGAGTCGACTCTGAATCATTAAAACGAGTCGTTTTTAAAACTAATCCCAAGCCGTTTCATGTTGACGTCAACATGAAATATTAGCATATTGCCCGCCCACTTGTTGGTCTTTTCGGGCTGGTCTGAATGAAAATGCAAATTCATTCTTTGCCACTAGGTGCTGCTTTTGGAGCAGTAAAAATAGCGGTTTCCCTGGTAACGCTGTACACAAAGCAGCACTGCGCTCACAAACGCTGCTTTATCAGGCATTACAGGCATGATGCAATGAAAATGAGACCGAACGGACCAATCACCGCAGATTAGCGTCACACAAAGGAGGGGTTTGGAAAAATGAATCGTTAAACGAATCGTTTCGGAGTCGTTGAGCAAATAAGGTAAAAATAAATGCATATTATAAGACAATGAAAGTGTTTTTTGACCTTGCATGCATGTCAACCTGTTGTTTGGGACTCCCAAAACCAAAATATGAACGTTTCATTACCCATAATAGGGGCACTTTAAAAAGTTTGGTGTCAGAAAGATTTTTTAATGTTAAAAGTCTCTTAAGCTCACCAAGGCTGCATTTATTTGATCAGATATACAGTAAAAACAGTAATATTGTGAAATATTATTACAATTTAAAATAACTGTAATCTATATTAATATATTTATAAATGTAATTTATTCCAGTGTTGACAAAGCTGAATTTTCAGCATCATTACTCCAGTCTTCAGTGTCACACGATCCTTCAGAAATCATTTTATTACACTGATTTGTTGCTCAAGAAACATTTATTTTTATGATCAATGTTGAAAACAGCTGAGCTGCTTAATATTTTCCTGAAAACCATGATACAGTTTTTTTCAGGATTCTTTAATGAATAGCAAGTTCAAAATAACAGCATTTATTTGAAATATAAATCTTTTGTAACATTAAAAATGTCACTTTTGAACAACTGAATTATTAAGTCCATACTGAACAAAAGTATTAATTTCTTTCTTTCTTTCAAAAAATCTTACTGACTCCAAACTTTGGAAATTTAGTGTACAATTTTTATGCATGTAAAACCATAATGCAACAGGTAAGATGCAAATAGAAAAGTGATAAAGTGATAATCATTCTCAAGCTGTGTATGCTAAAACTATAATGAAAAACAAGAAAAAGTGGAGATATCACTCTGTTTGCCTGGTTTTGATGCTCCTATCAATAATGTAACAAGTTTGACAGAGGATTTCCAGGCTTTTGTACATAGACAGGAGACATTTTAAGATCAAAATCAAAACTACATTTGCAATTCAACATATAAAATGTCAATATAACCTCAAATCCAGTTGCCTCTGCAAACAAATGATGCTTTTTTAGTCCTTCCACTGAACCGCAAAAAGGCGTTATGTTTCTCACAGAAATGCTGATTTGCTTGAATGGCGAATTTCCTTTACACTAATCAAAGGTGATACTCCATGGTCTGAAAATTTTGAGAACCACTGGATTAGGTAACCATGTCACTTTCGAATGACCTCAGCGTGAGTCTTGAATGTAATTCTATGCGGACCATCTAGAAAATGACAAAGACTGTCATTTCCTCCAACAGGCCAAGTCCTTAGAAGTTTGGTTTACATTTTGGAGGGCTAAGGTTGAGAATATTTTCAGATTGTAATGCGACAAAAATTACACATCAGTAACATCATATTAATATTACTGCTTAATATTAATAGAGAGGTCCACGCTGAAACTACATAGCCATGCGGACTGTTGACGGTGCTAGGGGGGAAGAGGGTGGATGGCTGGGGACTCACATCTGGGTGTGGAATGGCATATTGTCCCTGAATTGTGTAGGCCTGTGAAGATGGAGAGAGAAAACAAAAAAAAAAGAGAAGAAAAAATCAAATCAACATTTTTACAAGGCTGCAGGGCCCAATAAACACAAGAACTAACTGATTCATAACCGTTAAAGGATCTGTTAATATTTTAAAGGAACATTTGGTTTCAAAAGCTGAATTTTCTTTCATATTTTATGTGAATAATTTTTTATGACTAGTTATACAGTAATAATATTCAGCGCTTTAAATAATTTACAACACTCCTGGCTTTTCATATCTGTGCGTCTACTTGAGTGCAAGTGCACACTATGCTTAAAATATATTTCATACAGTCTTCAAATAACAAACACATTCCTTGAGTAGGTAAATATACCCGACAATAAAAGCAAATCTATTTCTGAATCATCTGAATAGATGAATATATAACATCCTTCACCAAGTTTTCTACAGTACATAAAATTCTGGACCTCTTTTTATATTTTCAAAAATAAGAGATAAAAGAACATAAGTTTAAAGTGTAAAACTGATAATCATGTTGTATTTCATGTAAAAAGCCATGATGTGCCATCTATGGTTATGTTAGCTGAAGTGCCTGTGAATGAGTTACGTTAAAAAGATGCTGAGAGCTTTGTTAAAGGACATTATTATTCATCATCAAAGGAATGTTAGATTAGCAGGGGGGGAAAAATTACAAACGCATTGTATTTTGTGTTGGTTAGTGAATGAGTGGGGATGACTTAGAAAAAAACGTTTGATAGCATATCCCTTCAATATTTATAACTTGACATTTCAAATTTTATTGGATTAATGCCAATCTAGGTCGACAAACTCTATCACATCCTGAGATGTTACACTTTAAGCTTTGAAAATATTAAAAGGATATGATATTTGCTCTGAGAGGGAGGAGATTATTTTGCAATAAGAGTGAAGAACATCGATCTAGAATTAAAATACACTCAAAGCAGCCAAAAACGCATTCATTGCCATGTAAAGGTGAGGTATGCAATTTTCTATTTTTCAATGTTGAAATATAATCTTTCTACAGTTGAATATGCAAAGACTTCTAAGGTTTTTGAAGGTTGATTTCCTGAAGAGAATAATTACATTTGAAACATTACTCTGTTTGTTAGTGCACCCCAACATTTCGATTTCTGGTTCAAAAATAGGCTTAAGAAAAATAAGAATATTAATATGCAATAATAATATATTTGTCTTAATTTATTGACTTTGACAGAATTTTCAGGCAGTCAGTTTAAAATCATCAAGCCTTTGTTTTGCATGATTTTTAAATATGCTCTTCATTCCAAATGCTTTCATGCTTTCTCTTTTTATGGTAACCGTAATGGGACAAAACTTTCGGAATATAAAAATTAAATTAAATTGAAGTACTTGAGTTCAAAATGCACATAACTTCACACAAATGCACGTAACTTGCAAAGTGCATTTAAAGTGAACTAAAGCCTGCTAAAACCTCTTAGAATGCATTACCACAGCAGAAAGACAAAAACATGAAAAATATGCATTCATTTCATTTCCATATTTGCTTAAAATTCACTTTTTGGATAGCAGTAAAAGGCAGTGCTGCTGCACTGAACTATGTCATGGCAGAAGAGCAGACTCTCCTTATGGATCTGAACTCTCATTGACAATCTAAAGCTCCTCTCTCTCTCTGCAAGCATTTCCCTGGTTAGGATGGTGTGACAACATGCCAGTGAGAAGGTGAGAAAACCTGAGTGAACTAACAGGCAGTGGCTGGTGCTGCAGTAAAAGGCTGAGGTTGGCTGCGGACGCCGCCAGCGGATCGGCTCTTACCTGGCCACCTGAAAAAATGACGGGGGTGGAGGCGGGCTTTGGGCGGTAGGGAATGGTGGCACCTTTCGGTGGGGACTAGGAGAGGGGAAGAGGTAAGAGGCAGAAACAGCGTTAGACCAGGAGACAGGTGTGTGTGGTGGAGTGTTTGTGTGGTAAAGCAGGAGCACAGATGTTGTGAGACCCCAGCGCTTGAAGATTTGTATTCTCTAGGCTGTGTGTTGTTGAGCTCAAACTGTCTAATCCATAAACCAGAAACAAGGTGGGCAAAGTCAAGCTGAAATATCAAAGTGCTGTAGCAAAAAGTCAACAGAATACGTGCCCAGAATAGAATACCAGCTGACTATTTAGGCCCTGTTTACACTAGTGCGTTTTCGTTTTAAAACGGTGTTTACATTGAAACGCAACCCCGGAGTTTTCAAACTAAAACGGGGTCTACAGCGTTTTCGAAAATCTCACCCTAGAAAACGCCGGAGTAGTGTAAACGACAGGCGTAACCGTAGCAAAAGTTCTGCTTTTAAAATGAAATCGCACTAGTGTAAACGTAGCCTTATTTTACAGCAAAGTATGCCACTGTTCCAAAATTTGGGGTTGGTCAGATTTTTGTTTTTGAAAAAAGTCTCTTATACTCACCAAGGCTGCATTTATTTAATCAAAAACACAGTAAAGACAGTAAAATTGTGACATTTTATTTCAATGTAAAAACTGTTTTCTATTTGAATATATTTTAAAATGCAATTATGGAAAAGCTGAATTTTCAGCAGCCATTTCTTTTTTTATTAAAATATTTTGTAACATTATAAATGCCTTTACTGTCACTTAATTTCAATTAATTTAATGCATCCTTGCTGAATAAAAGTATTACATTTAAAAAAGTTATACTGACCACAAACTTTAAAACAGCAGAGTATATAATTTATAAATACCATACTGTACACAAAACAACGCATTATGCAACAATAAAGGTGTCAAACTGTAATATACCATGATAATATGCCATCACCAGTGAAATAAATGTAATGTAATCTGAAATAAATCCTGTTAGCATTTCTAGTCCAATTTTAAGTAAAAGACTCTTCACTTTTGGGAGTCCAATCAAATAAACAGTCAAGAAAGAGACTTTCAGATTTATTTGCCACACTGGAAACAGTAAGGCTTTGTTGGATAGGGAACACAATACCAACTACTTTCTAAACTGATTGTATACTATGCAGTATACACTGTATACTGCCTATTTTATTTATTTATTTTGAAATACAGTAGTTAATCTGTAGCATTATTCCACTATATATGTTTCAAACAGTAGAATGCTATATTGCTGTCACTTCAGTGAGTTCAGTTATACCTTTTGTAAAGATAAACAATAGCCCTAAAATTTCAGCGACACACAAAGGATGATACAGTACATGTTATAAGTTCCCAGGTGATCTGATTACGTTAGAAATATGTCTATGTCTGTACAAGCCAAGAATGAAAAGCATTCGATAATGCCCAATCAGAGCACAATTCACCTCTGCAGGAGATCAGCCCTACACGTCATTGGTGGATAAGAATAACATTTAAATCAATAAAATGAGAGAAGGCGTAAGCAAGCCAACGGAAGCTTTGTGTTTCTCATTAATCACAAGTAAAACAATGTAGTCTCTCTTTGGCAGGGTGGCTGTAATGGAGTGTGGCTGTGTGTATGGTTGTGCATCCATCCCATTGTTATTGCCATAACAAATGGATTTCACCCAAAAAAAGAAAATTCATTCATCATTACTCAGCCTCATGGTGTTCCAAAACAGACTTACTTGCTTCTGTGAGACACAAAAGGAAACTGTTGTACAGTATGTACCGGTTGCTCTGTTCTGAGCAATTACAACGAATGAGAAATAATACTTTTAAGCTTTAAAGAGTAAAACCGTCTTTTTTGTACTTAGTAGTTCATATGACTTATGCTCCATATCCAAGACTTCTGAAGTCATCAAGTGAACTTGGTCAGCTGATTCAATGAAAACATCTGACTGTAAAGAACAGTTTGTTCATTTTCTTCCATAATGTGATGTACATCCAAGACCATTTGATTTTCCAACAAAAAAAAAAGGTAACACTTTAGCATAGGGACCAATTCTCACTAATAACTAGTTGCTTATTAGCATGCCTATTATTAACATATTGGCGGTTTATTAGTACTTATAAAGCACATATTCTGCATGACCATATTCTACATTCCTAATCCTAAACTTAACAACTACCTTACTAACTATTAATAAGCAGCAAATTAGGAGTTTATTGAGGCAAAGTCGTAATTAATGGTTTGTTAATAGCAAGGATTGGACCTTAAAATAAAGTGTGACCAAAAAAAATGTATATATGCAATTTAAATGCATAAATCTTAAATATAGGCCTAAATATATTTTTTTACTTCATGCTGATTTTAAATCACGTTTTAACTTTTTGTGTTCAACAGTGTAATGAAAGTCATTTGGGTTTAAAACAACATGAGGGGGTGTAAATAATGACATAAATTTCATTCTATGTGAATTATCCTTTAAACAACACTGTACAAAACTGTACCTCCAGCATGACCACACATATCTGTTTGACACACTGGATGATGGCTTCTGGGGTGCCGGAGATTGTCACTGCGCGCTCTGTGGAGTTAGGCAGCATGTCCCCTGCTACCTGCACCTGAGCTCCTGTGGACTAAAGAGATAGAGAGAGAAAAAAACAACACCAGGCTATGATTCAGAGCATACGCTACTGATGATGGTGTGATCTGCTCTGAGACCGCACTGCTCTCTAGGGAACACTGGGCCAAATGTTGCCATCTGCATGCAAGCATATGTTTCTGTTGAAGACATTCAGCAATGTCGTGATTTCCATACAACAGGGCCCTTCAACCTTTTTTAGATAAAGGAACTCTTAGTGGATAGAAAGATTGAGCAAGGACCTGGTTACACTGAGAACAGCATGTGTCTAGTGGGATGTTAATATATTTACATAATTTGTATTTACTTGTGAGTTTTGTGGCTTTGTGGTTGAAGACTTCTGCCATACAAGATGGGCTTGGAAAGTTGCATAAGCCAGTAAAAGAGATCTGACAATCCATTATCAGAAAATAAGTCTAAGAGCAAAGTTTCATACCTCTCTCATCTCTTTGATTTTCGAGCCTCCTTTGCCAATGAGGGAGCCGCACTGACTGGCGGGCACCACTAGGCGCAAAGTGACAGGGGGCTTGCTGGTGGCTGGGCTATTGCTCATGGAGTTGATTATATCCTGAAGAAATATCAGGAAGCAACAACATAGATGATACAAATTTAATATAGTTGAAACAACAGAATGTGGCTCATATAATCCGAATTAGTTAAAATGTAAAAAGTTAAAATTATTGGTTTTATATTATTTGTTTTACTGTTTAATGTTTTTTGTGCAGCTGCATTTGCACTGAAGCCAGACTAATCTTTTAATGTCTTGGTTTGTGCCCATGAAGTTCTGAATAAAAGGAGAAAATAAAATAAAATTGGATGAAGTAATGTTCATTTCAAATGAATTTAAGTCACTGGATTATTAAAAAAAAGGTATTGGCCATTTTTTATTAAATTGTTAACTTCAGTATATTGAGATATACACTACTGTTCAAAAGTTTGCGGTCAGCATTTTTTTTTAAGTGAATACTTTTATTCAGCATGGATGCATTAAATTGACTGAAATAGATGTATAGTGGATAGTAAGGACTTTTACATTATTACAAAAATAATAAATAATAACTTTAAAAATACTGTTCTGCACAACAAATTAGGCAGCACAACTGCTTTCAACGTTGATAATAAAAATAAATGTTTCTTGAGCAGCAAATCAGCATATTAGAATGATTTCTGAAGGATCACATGGCACTAAAGACTGGAGTAATGATGCTGAAAATTCAGCTTTTCCATTACATGAATACATCACACTTTAACATATATTAAAATAGAAAACAGTTTGTAATAATATTTCATAGTATTACTGCATTTTCGTGCGTCTTTGAAACAGCCTCCCTCTACATATTAAATCCTGTGACTCCATTGAGTGTTTTAAATCTATGTTGAAGACCCATCTCTTCTCTGCTGCATTTAACTGTTCTTAGCTATGTGGGGTTTGTTTAGTGTTTTGTTGTGCTTTATGGTGTGTATGTGTATATGTTTTGTAAGTATGGGTCTGTAAAGCACTTTGGTCAACTTTAAATGTGCTATAGAAATAAATGATTGATTGACTTGTAGCCTTGGTGAGCATAAGAGACGTTCAGAATCATTTTAAAAACGTTACCGACCACAAACTTTTGAAAGGTATTGTATACCATTACTGTTCACATCAAAACATTTTGGGCAGTTTTGTCAAAGTGGTTAGTTTGAGTCAAGTGAGATTTTCATATATTGTATCCAACCAGCACCTCTTCAAACTTGTACGCGATCATAGCGAAGGCCTTAAAGATGGCATCTGTGGGTCCAGTGATGGTGACGATCCTCTCAGGACAGTTTCCCTCTGAGATGTTGATGCGAGCGCCGCTCTGTAGGATGTCAAAAGTCAAGTTAACCCTCATATTCTTGTTCTGCTTTGCATCTGAGAGACTTCAAGACCCTTTTAACAGCTCAAAAACACACTTAAAGGTGCAATTTTAAACTACTTTCCTCTATCCCATCTTTAAAAAGTGAAATAGGTTCATTTCAAATCACTATTATTATTTTTACACAAACAACACTGAGGTCGGTGTCATTAAACAAAGTTATTCTAAACAGAACATCAAACAAATTAGCAAAACAAAAACATACCTCTTCACGCATCTTCTTCACAGTTTCCCCTTTCTGTAGCAAAAAGAAGAGCGGAATATTTAGATTCAGTGCTTAAAATACACATATACACACATATATAATATACTGAATATATTTAATATACTATATCTATCAATCTACACTACCGGTCAAAAGTTTGGGATCAGAACGTTTTTTTATGTTTTTTACAGGAGTTTCTTATACTCATCAAGGCTGCATTTATTTGATCAAATATACAGGAAAAAATGTAATATTGTGAAATATTATTATGATGTAAAATAACGTTTTTCTATTTTTAATATACATTAAAATCGAATTTTCGATTCCCGTGATGCAGAGCTGAATTTTCAGCATCATTACCCTCTAGTCTTCAGTGTCACATGATCCTTCAGAAATCATTCTAATATGCTGATTTATTATCAGTGTGTAATGTGGGGTTTGGGTTTTGTTTTTGTTTCATGTTCATGTTTTCATGTCTTTTATTTTGGAGTTTAATCATGGTCCCCGTTTGTGTCATGCTTCCC